CCAATTTTCCTTTTCTTTTATTATAATTTAAAGCCCAACCTACGAGTTATAAATAAACATATATACTATAACAAACTTTTCTTTGATTAAGATTCAAACTTTGTTAACGTAATTTAAATTGAAATTAATCAAATTAATCTCACAGTACTATATATAAGTTATAGTAGTGAGATAATAGGTGTCATAAGATAAGAAAAAATGAGAAAAATGCTAAAAATTAAGTAAAATGTGGTGATTATTTTGTAATTACAACGGTGTATTTATTATTATTATTATTATTATTATTATTATTATTATTATTATTATTATTTAAATAAAGATATTGTTACTTTGCGAAATTCCACTGTGAAACGTAGGACAAACCACGAAGAAGAAAGAAGGCTAAGCGGTACAAAAGACTTGGGGAAAATCTGTCCCACGCCGGCCTCTTAATTATTATTTTGTGAAATCATCCATCATTGATTTTTTTTTTTTTTCTCTTTATCATCATTTGGTTTCTTTTTGGCTTTCTTGTTTATACTATTCTTCCAATCTTGGACTGCTTTCCTGTCCCCGTTGGCATACCATCACTATGAATCATCCAAATTATATTCATATATGTAACTATATATCAGCTTATATATTCAACGATAAATATAATATTTACATTAATTTTATTTGTAAGATAAATATATATATATGGTTTAAAAACAATAATTTTATATATAGTAATAAACCCTCTTTTTGTTTACTAAGTCATACCATAATTTAACCTTGAGGTTCTTGAGGTCTATTACTAATCCGAAAAGAATTATAATTTTTTTTAACAGAAAAGAATTATAATTAATAACATATCAATTAATATCTATATTTTTAATCTAAAGTATGTAAAAATCAATGATAGTAAGGTTTTAATTAACACGGACAAAAAAAATATGTTGTTGTAATAAATTGCATGTTAATTAACTTATATATTGTGTTTACTTTCTTGTATGCATTTGACATTCTTTCTGAATTTAGGAAATAGATAAGGCCAAATGAGAACATGAACTATGCAAAACTACAAACTATATCTTATGAGATGTAAGAATGCGTGCAACTTATGACATGTATAAAAGGAAAACTCAAGAACGGATGCACATTGTAGTTTTGTATGGTGCACTTTTAGAGTTCATACATTTCTTGAGTACACTTTTACATATAATAGGATACACTTTGTAATTTATGCAACGCACTTTTTCTTTCACATGTTCACATCTCGGTGATATTCTCACCTGATCTTGTCCCTTCAAACTTACCTTTCTTCTTCGTTCATGAAGTATATATTAGTTATTTCTATTGTTCTTTTCTCTTAATAGTTTTATTACTAGTTTTTTTTCCCAGTGTTTATATAATCGCACAATGCAAGATATTTTACTAATTCTTTAAATAAGGGTAGATCAAAATTGTTGGTGGACTAATAATCAAAATATTAAGTGAGTCAAGGATGTAATTTATAGAATTTCCAAGTTGAAGAACCTTTACTCTTTTGTTAAATAAATTAGCTAAGAGAATCACTCTTTGGCATAGACAAATTAAAGTTTGGGTGATGGAGTGGGTGAAAGTTTGCCCCTCGTGTATGTATTCTATATCAATGCAACTTTCATTTATGATCTACCCTACATGTTGATGAGTAATAAGTGCAAATTGCTTGAAGTTGAAGCATGCATGTGTAATCAATGGGTGCAACTACGAGATTGTGATCATTTACTTTCTTTGTATAATTAGGAAGTAATATTTTCTTAAAGCAAACACTTTTAAGTATCATATACTTATAACCTTATTAGTGAAGCTGCAGAGGTTTGATTGTTACATAGGTTGCACTTTAATTATGAAAAAAATAAAATAAATCATATTTCAATGTCGTGCTAAGTACTAAATGTTGCCAATCTTGATTTATAACAAAGGTAACAATAACAATAAACTACATGAGTTTAAGGTTTTGCAAAACTAAGTTACATCCAATTAATGAAGTAATTAATTTGGTCACCACTTTAATTTAGGAAAAAGTTCGTAACCGCTTTTTGAATGTACGCATTATGAGAAGTATACTTTGTGATATTCCTTGACAAAAGACTACAATGAGATAAATCAGCTTAAGTTACCATTCGCTAATTAATTCAAATTAATAGTCAAACTTAGAACCTTGAGGTTATCAAGTCGATTATCCGACCAATTTGGTTGAGATTACCCCTAATTGGTCACATCTGTTTGTATTGCATATTTATGTGCTTTCACACCAATAAAATTATACGTTTCACTAAAAAAAATGGACATAAATTTTCAATCAATTTTTCATGGGACATCATAAATAAACGAAATTTGAATGGCGTATACAAATTTGCATGGGCAAAATTGGAAGGCAAAAATGGAGCTAAGTTGATGGGTGGTCATGATGGGCCTTGTTTGATGCCGGTAGACATCCCAAAGAAGTCTTACAATCATTATTGCATGGACCATCGTCCATACAATTATGTGGACCATAAATAAAAAGTACATTTTTAATAAACTAAGGGAACATTATTTATATATATAAGGTACATTTTTTGAATGTACATTTTTAATATACTAAGGATACATTATATTATATAATGCAATTTCAATACAAAAATAATGTACCGTAAGTATAAAAATAATGTACTTTTAGTATATTAAAAATGTATCTGATATTCATGGTCCACACAATTGTGTGGACCCTGGTCCATGCAATAATTTGCCGAAGTCAATCATTATTGCATGAACCATAGTCCATACAATTATGTGGACCATAAATAAAAAGTACATTTTTAATAAACTAAGGGAACATTATTTATATATATAAGGTACATTTTTTGAACGTACATTTTTAATATACTAAGGATACATTATTTTATATAATGCAATTTCAATACAAAAATAATGTACCGTAAGTATAAAAATAATGTACTTTTAATATATAAAAAATGTATCTGATATTCATGGTCCACACAATTGTGTGGACCCTGGTCCATGCAATAATTTGCCGAAGTCTTGGTTGGAATCTATTGGGCTTCCAAAAGGTAGCTGAAGCTCATTGGACCTTCATCGTGAAATGTGAATACCAATGCAGTTAGCACCCAAAAAATGCAGAATTGGGCCGAAATAATGGCCCAAGATTTCAGAAGCGGCAAATTATACTGTTGACCGCAGTCCACAACGTATTATGGTGCAGACATCAAATATGCATTGCAGTTTCATTTCAACACAATTAGAATATCATTTTGATATAACTATAGTTTCGCTGGACAATATACACTCAAATATGTAAAATTGTTATTCAGTTCCATTTTGTATTTTTGTATACACTGCAATTTCATTTCAACACAACTACAGTTTCATTTCAATTCAAGTGTAATTTCATTTGATAATATAATAAAAATAATACGTGAGACCGTGTCAATTTAGATACATTATAGTGTCTGCCATTTTAGACCATAGTCTACAGTATAATTGTTGTTTAGAAGTCATCCGAACAATCATTATTCTTTGGATCATGGTCTCCACACGGATCATAAATAAAAACTATATTTTTAATATATTAAAAACATATTATTTAAATAATAAATTCTCTTTATTTTGTTTGTCAGGTTTACTATTCATTTGTTATTTTTACTTATTTTCTTAATTAATTTTAAATATATTTTTTTGTTTAATATTATTTTTAATAAAATTTCTCTAAATATATAAATTTTATATATTAATATTAAATTTACTATTATATAAAAAATTAAATTAAAAATAACGCTAATCAAACAAAACGAAACACAAAAGTGTTAAATAATGTACATTCAGTACATAAATAATATAATTTTAGTATATTAAATGAGTAAATATCCAAAATAGTCCCTCGACTATAGCTAAATTTACAAATTGATCCTCGACTATTGATTTCAACCAATTAAGTCCTTAATTTTTTAATTTTGATCCAATTAAGTCTTCCATCTATTTGACCGTTTTCTATGAGGATATATATGTAATTTCAATGTTCTTTCTCCATTTTTAGCCACATGGCCATGTCTTCCAGCTCCATCAACGCCTGTTGTTCTTTGAGCGCGCCATCGAACGTGCTTCCGACGAAGAACGAGAACGACGTCGGGAAAAGGTTCTGTCGTAGATCTTGGGCATCCTTTTTCGACTTGCCGTTAAGCCTGTTGAATAATCGGATCACGTCTTTCATATACGTTTCGACTTCGGAGGCAAGCGATTCGAGATCCTCCTCCCTGTCACGTGGTCGGTCTTCCAGCAACGTGACCTCCGCCACCAAGTACGGTTTGGTCCGGCCAACTTCGTGACCTGGAACCGCTCCTGGCCTTTGCAGATTAGGAAGAAGCGGTCGTCAACGAGGTGCCCGTGCTTCACCACTTCCCCGATGCAGCCCACCTCGGTGGCGTCATTGGCATGCTATCGGAGTAAATGACCCTGAATCAGAGATCGGTCTGCAGCAAAGTGTGCATCATGATTCGGTACCGAAACTCGAAGATCTGAAGCGGAAGGATTGCACCGGGAAGAACACTGACTGCAGAGAGAAAAGCGGATGTTTACACGTGGACATGTGTTTATAAGTGTTTCTGTAATCTATACTATGGAGTTTTGCAATTACATAAATATCCTCTTAGATAACGATCAACAAACGGTCAAATAGACGGAGGACTTAATTGGGTCAAAATTAAAAAGTTAAAACTTAATTGGTTGAAATCATTAATGAAGGATCAATTTGTGAATTTAACTATTTTGAGTATTTACTCTATTAAAATATACTTGATGAACATAAAAATTTGACCGGCCGAAGGCGGTGGGTGGTGGGTGTGATGTTGTCCAAGGAGATGCCGGAAAAAGTCCAGAAGCTGTCCACCGCCTAAATCGGGCAATGTGCTTTGGTTGAATTAAGAATGTGCGTTGAGAATTGAGATTGCTTGCGAACTAGTGATGCCGCAATATTCCCTTCTGACTAAAGAGCAAAAAATATGCCTTCTGTACCTCTTTCACTCGGCACACCGAATCTCCATTTTCGGTCTCCACTGCCATTTTCTTCCCCTTTACACTTTCACACTCCCTCCTTAAACCCTTTCCTCCTTCCCCACATTTCCATTCCCCAAACTCCCTCGCTTTTAATGGACTCTTCATACCTTCTCCCAATACACCACAACACGAACGCGCCGCCGCCGCCGCCGACCGGGCACTCGAAATCGCTGTTCTGGCACCACTCATTCTACTGGGGAAAAAACGTTGAGTTCCTCTTCCCGGGTTGGCCCGGCCGGAGCTCCGGAATGTACGCTCTGAGCTTGATTGTGGTTTTTGTGCTGGCGGTTATGGTGGAGTTTCTCTCCAATCTCAACTTGGTTAAACCCGGATCCAACCGGGTGGCGGCGGTGGCCTTCCAGTCCGGGATTCACGCGATTCGTGCCGGATTTGCGTACATGGTGATGCTGGCGGTGATGTCGTACAACGGTGGTGTTTTTATCACGGCGGCCGTGGGGCATGCGGTTGGGTATGTCGTTTTCGGAAGCCCACTCTTCAAAAAGGCTTCCTAAAGATGCTCGTCAGATTCCGAGTTTAATGGGCTTCTGGCCTTTCTGGGTGTGCAATGAAATAAATTATAACTCTTTTTTTCTTTTAATTAATTAATTAATCTTTTATTTTGGGTTGTGTTTTGCGAAATTATATGAAAATTTGTTCATTTTAACGTGTAAACAAACAGTTTGAACTTCAGATGTGTTTGCCTCACTCCGTATGGTTTCAAACACTTCTCTAGTATTCGTGTCCCAAAAATGTTTAATAAGATCGATATTCATAAATCATAACATTATTACTTTAATCATCACAATGTATTTAACGAATTATTTTATTTTAATAGGATTGACAGGTCTTTTGATTTGATATTAATAGCAATAATATAGTTGAATAATTCAACAATAAAGTTAATATGAATTATAGATGGAGCTACAACACATGCACAATCAAACTCAAAAAGCTTTGATACAAGAATGTCGTGATCTTAAACGACACTTTGATACAGTGTTTGTTCAGTTTATTTCTTGATCAGTGAATAAGTCTGTTCACGCATTGACTCGAACAACTCGTTTTCAAACTGGTCCTCTAGTTTGGTTATATTCGATTCTTGTTTGAATTGAATCTTTGAATTAATGAAGTTATGATTTTTTTTTTTTTTTAAAAGCCAAAGAAGCTAAGCATATTAGAGATTGAATTATAACTGCTGCATGCGTTGGAGATTGGACAGCACAACCAAACCAGCATGTGACCGATATGATCATCGAACTAACAAACAAAAATATTGACAAGAAAAAGGATTCCAAGTGAAACAATATAATCGTCCCAATCAATGCGTTTCATCGTCACTAAATAATTCGACAACGATATATATATATATATATATATATATATATATATATATATATATATATATATATATATATATATATATATATACCCGGCGGAGTATTCACGTCCAAAAGAAGAAGTTATAGCAGAAGTCAACGTACATTGGCCTTTCCTTTTTAATTATTATTTCATTAATATAATTGTAGTTATTTATACTGTAATGTGCATTTCTCTTTCAGCTTCTTCTTCTTGTGGTTCTCGAGAATATTTGTGATGATCATGACGCCGTCTGGCTCATCACCATCTTCAATGTACAGTGGCGGTGGGATGAACATGAACGCCATGCACGATAGCTTCTTCTGGAGTAAGAACGTGACCATTCTGTTCAATGGATGGCCAAACAACAACCTCGGAATGTACGTACTAGCCTTGGTCTTTGTGTTCTTTCTAGCATTCTCCATTGAGATCTTGTCGGTTACTGCGGCGGTCAACCGGGCTACGACGCCGGCGCTTGGTGCTTTGGCTCAGACCGGCGTTTATGCCCTTCGCATCGCGCTGGCTTACCTGCTTATGCTCTCAATCATGTCGTTTAACCTCGGAGTGTTTATAGTTGCGGTGGCCGGCCATGCTTTCGGCTATTTTGCTGTCAAGTTCCGTGCGCTCCGCCACAGTGCCGCCGACACCATTCCTAAAGTCTGACGTATGTACGTTTGCGCAAACTTAATTCCACAACTCAAGTATCTATCTGCATGTGCTTTATTCCTCTGATTGATCTGCATATATATATGTTTTTACTTTAATGTAGTAATGATCCCAGTCCGAGCTAGGTGTTGTAATAAAGTTTATTTTGTGATTAAAGGCAATATATATATATATATATATATATATATATATATATATATATATATATATATATATATATATATATAAAGCAAGAATGACAGTTAAAGTGCAGTAACTCCCGGTCGACTAATATAATAAGCACTATAGCGCATATGTTATGTTTTCAATTAGAAAAAGAGTACCGGGATGCATATAATTTGAGTTTTTTCTGTTATTCGATCTGTATTTTCCAAGTTTCATTGGTTCAAAAAAGGTAGTGCGTGAGTTTACAGACTCGAGCTTTTTTCACCATGAATGGTGACAGAAAAGTAGAAAACTACCCACGCACTTTGACGTGTTGAGGAGTAGTCATAACAAGGGCAATATAATTCAGCTGCCCAGAACCCACACTCACAATATGGCACATCTGTTTAGGCCAATAGATGCAAACAGTCTTCTAAGCTTGGACAAAATACCCGTGCTAGGGGGAACCGCTTCAGTCTCATTCATACTATCTTCAGTTGTAAGTAAGCCTCTGGTTTCATTGTTGTCTTCGTCATTTTCACTTGCATCCATGGCACCTGTTTCACTGGTATCAACTTCTGCGATTTCTCCAGGTCTTTTGTCAAACAGCCCTTTAAATTGCTTACGAGCTCTCTTGTGGACTTCCTGCTCATCAAATACTGGAAATTAGAACCATAAATCCACTCTTGAATGGGAAAAAGAGTATGTTTTAAATACCAAAATCCTGCTCACCTGTTCCTCCTTTTTTAGTTTCATGAGAGCTGCCTTCGCTGTTGTCTCAGATGACTTGTCAATGCTCATCATCTACAACCCCATCCAAATCAATTCAAAACATTGTAAATGTTCTATCATATGGTTGCTCAACTCAGCAATGAAGTCATTATGTGGCTGGCCAGAACTAGAATATTTACCTTGTTAAAATCATCCCTTGCTTCCTCAAAATCTCCACCCGCCATGTAAGCCATTCCACGTCGATAAAATGCTTTGACATGAACAGGATTCGCATCTAACACCTGAATCAGAAACATCAATTATATTAAGCTAGAGACACACCCTTCAATTACATACAAAATGGTTCAGTATATAAATTAAAAAATGAGGAAATAGCATATACTGATATTAATAGCTGCTCATATGAAGAGTAAATGAATGAATTCCAAGAGTGGTGCAGACAGATGCAACCACATGTTGTACTACTGTATTATACTCTGAATCAAGTTGACGTTACCTTATTACATGCCTCTATTGACTTTCTGTGCTCTCCCATCTTCAGATAGCAGGCAGCAACATTAAGATGCAACAAATTCTACATACCAAAAGAATGCACATTACAGAGGAAAAATGGGTTTAGAAGAATAAAAAATGTGACTAACACACAGGTGCATAATGACATTAGTCAAACTGTTAATAGTAACCTTTCATTCTTTAACTAGCTAAAAGATATGTCAGCAGACGAAGAAAATTTTTAATTTCAGTATTCCTGTTAAAAATATATACCCTGGTTTCAGAGAATTCCTTTCCCTCTTCATCATCTTGAGGATTAACATGATTAAATTCACGAAGAACCTGTAAAACAAATAAAATAAATTCCAACATAGATTGAAACTTCAAGGGGCAGGTTGTGTAGATGGAATTTTTATTGGATTCCAACAAACTTGGAAGTAAGAATAGTACATGCCTTCTCATACTTTGACTTTGCAAGTTCAAACTTTCCTTCCTTAAAAAGCCTGTTTCCCTGTAAAAGAAATTACAACAGATGAGTGTCCATTGAAGGATTATATCAGAGAACAATCTCAGTTCCCATAGGGCAACCTTTGAATTTACTAACTAAAAATAGAAGCACAAATGCAAATGGAACGAGAACATATCCGGACAATGGAAGAATTCCTAACAAACAGAAACCTTTCCTACGTGTGGGTCATTACAGATAAATACAGATACAGAGGGAAGAGAGAAGTGGATAGTTCAGAAGGTATTTTGGCTTGTGATTCCTCCAAACTGTCATCTAATATATACCGTGCCTTTAATCTTCTCAACATCTTCCATTATTTCTCTAAAATTGAAGCCAGTCCAATCCTGTAACAATTATTGCATGAATGAGAAATATCAATATAAGCAAACAGAATAAATAACACTAAATTACAGAGCAGATAAATCATTCCCCTCCATTGCCAGTGCAGCACAGTGCTTCCCCTTTTGCCTAATTAGTAGCTAACTGTTGGTAGTTGGTTGACTGGTTCAATTACCTTCGGTGTACTAAAATCTAGAAGTTCAATTTCCCACTGGACATAGGCACCTTCAGGAACATTAGCAGGCCTGATCATATTATAGACGAATTTGAATAATGCTATCAGTACAAAGTTTAATAATATGGGGTTGTCAAATGATGTGATGATGAAAAAAAAAAACCTTTCAAATTTATCATAAGCATAATCAGGAGGGCATGTGACAAGAGCAATCTCTCCTGGCAACATCAGACGAACACACATCTCAAATCCTTCAGGAACCTGATGCAGAAAAGGAAGACTTTCATCATTCAAGAATAGATTTTGTATATAATTAGAAAGCAAAACAAGTTACGCAAACAAAATTATGAATACATGAATTTTACATGGTTCAATTGACTTACAAGTCCCTCTCCAGAACTGAACTCCAAAGGCTGACCATTGTTGTCAAATTTTGTATCATAGAAGACTGTCTTTTCTTCATTAAGAAGCATGCCCTTGTAGTGGACATGCAGAAGACTGTCCTGGAGAGGGCAATCCATAGGAAAGTCACCTAATAATTTTACAGAATAAAAAATCAGTTACCCGTATACATTAACATCTAGCTTAATACAGTGAAAATTCAAGTTATAGTAAGGATCACATAAAATCACCCCATCATTAAGTACAAGTTCAATAAAGAATCAGAATTAAAGCTGGCTCCTAAAATAAAATTATCCCTAAGGGCAAGGTTTGAAGGGACTAGGGACTAGGGACTAGGGAGACACCTCTTCCATCACGAATGCGACGTTTAATTAAGCGTCCATCTCCAAGCACATCTCGTACCTGCACAGACACCAAGGCATTTAGGACATTTGTTTTCTGATAGGAAGTTGAAGAGATACTGGTACTAAAGTCAGCCAAAAAAGTTGTTATTAAAATGATAAGTGAAATAGTTGTATCAAATCATTTGGCATTTAAAATTTGGACTCTGGAAGCAATAGCAATTTCAACACATTTAAGACGCATTATTTCAATTGAAAGTTGAAGAAATTATAGTACTAACATTAGCCAAAACAAGAGTTGATTATTAAAATGAAAAGTGAAATAGCCATATCAAATTATTTTGCATTGAAAACAAGGACTCTTGAAGTACGTATGGCCGTACCAAATTATTAAAATGAGAAGTATTCACCTGAATGAAGTGGACAAGCTCCACCTCAAAATGAATTTCCTCAATGTCTTCTGTTATAGCCATTAGAGGAGATTGACTAAAGTATTGACGTGTAACATAAACCACTGCTTTCTCTCCCCGTGACATTGATCCTATTCCCATTTCAAGACCTACTGGTATCTAATCTTGACAAACCAAAATAAAAACATGATCAGTGCATATACATCAAAGTAACAGACCAGAGGCAAGGTCTTTTAAGGCTTGCCCTGTACAGAGAGATCAAATTACCCAATACTGCAGCACGATACACGAATAATGAGGTTTCAAAAAACCATGCGGACAGTAGAACTTTCATTTGAAGCAAACTTGGGAATAATGTGGATCAAGAAAATAAAAGAAGAGAAAAATGTCAATGAATATATTGCTGACCTCAGATTTACCAAAAGTAAAGGAATATGGTTCACTCTGAGTATGAGACAGAATCACTTTTCCATCACCCGACTTTGCCGAAATCCTAAAAATATTTAAGAACTAATATTTTTTCCAAAATATAAAAATATAGAAAGCACATATAGCTCAGAGTGTGTGCACAAGCTGACATAGAAGATATGGCCAAAGAAAATCAAGTCCGCATCTTTACCGGGCTTTTACTTCACAAGGTTCCCTAGGTGATTCCCAACTCTGTCCTTCTTCTAGAACCTGTATAGAGAAATGACAAGAACAATTAATTATGCAATTAAATTTATCCTCAAAAGCACATACTATATTTTCTGCACAGTAAGCATTGATAAAGAATTTATGTGCCATTACTCAACTACACCTTAGTTTACATTTTTTAAACAAGGTTTCCTTATAAACATGCAAGGAGCTTTACTGATCCACAACCGTTCTATAAACCCCTCCTCTCAAACATTGTCCATTACATATAAAATTGTCTATACCTTTCTTAATAACTATTTGCAATTCAGCATCACAAAAGAGAACGGAAATCCATATGTGCATCTAACAAAAAACAGATGGGGAAATATACGCGTGTGCACACACACAACAAAAACCTACCTAAGAATTTTCTAGGTTGTTCTAAATAATAAAAGATGTTTTTTTGACAACACCATCACATCAGGAAGAGTCCAAAGATATATAGAACTCAAAAAGAGAAAGTCACAAAGAGGAAAAGAGTTAATGAAATGTAACCAAGCAGAACTTCATTCATGTTCTCAATACCTTCTTTAAGACTCCCAGATCAGAACTGACAACCTGAGGATCAAAGAAAAAAAAAAAGGTATAATAAATAAGGATGAATCCTAGGAGTAGATGGAGTGTCCAAATATTTGTAAGAGTTGGCAAAAGGAAAAATAAGTTTATAGACATGTATAACAGTAATCAAGGGCCAATTTGTGGCTCCAGGAAACATGGGTTGCAATTGACAAGCACTTCATAGCTAGTGTGGAATATAAAAACTGAAAGCCAAAAGAGTTGGAAAAGAATTGAAACAGAATATATAATTATCTTGCCTTGACTTTAGAGAATTCTATCAGTTCAATCTCAAAATGAAGTTCATCTTCCTTTGGAAAGCTGTCAGAAACTGAAACTGGACAATCTTCCTCCCCATAGTGCATTTCTGGTTTCATCTTGAACTGAAA